CTTTTGCTTAGGCAACTCCACCGTCTTGCTCCGTCCGCTATATATCCTGTCACTTGGCGCCTACGATGGCCACTCACGGCTGGTCTGGTGTCCATATCTTCGTCTTGCAATTCTAGTGACCAGACTTACTCGACTCAGTATCAAAATTGATCATGGAGGAAGCACCACGTGCGGTCTGGAAAGTGGAAACCACATTTTGAAAAATCGAAATCGATGGTCCAAATGCAGCCGAAATGTGTACAAAACGCTTCAACCACGCGTACAAACAAGGCTCTTCCATGGTAACAACAATCGGACGTCACCTGTCCTAACTAGGCGATCTCTCGGACTGGTAATCGAGGTTTTTGCTTGGTTGCTGTGAGCCCTGAATTTGCATGCACAGTGCCTGCATCTTTCAGTATCTTTCAAATGGGGACTTCCCCTGTCAGTCACAGTCGCACGGCGCATTCGGAGTAGAGCCCAAAGGCTTCCCTGGAACTTAATGAATCTGGAGAACTTTAAATCGTTGTTCTGTGTTGAATAAAAGTGCAGGACCGGGGTGGGCACAGTATCTCACTCGGGTGCAATGGGGCAGCTCTAAATGGCATGAAGATGATTCCATTGCTCCTGCTGGACATCGAATTGAATGATTACAGAGAGGATATCTGCAGCTTGCTGATGAGACGCAGATGACGAAACTCTGCCACTGGTGAATGAAATTATAAAATTGTGCAGCTGCGTAGTGGGGCTGAGGCATTATGTGGAATCAGTAGTGGCCCTGAAAGGGATAAATAAGTTTTCCAGTATACTCAGTACCATGAATTTTCCCAACGGCGGGCAGCAAAACTTTGCCTCCATCTCCCTCTCTTCAGTCCTTGCCACCACAGTTCATTACTCCACCACGTCACTTGGCCAACCCTCTCATCCCGCCGGAAGGTCAAGCAGCTACTCTTTGCTCACACCTTCGCTGTCAAACGATCCCCGCCACACATCCAGCTTGCGACCTCAGGCTACATCACCGAGCCACCAAGCCGGGAATTGAGGCGTCATCGAGTCTTTGCCCTCCCCACCACCCATTCCACCCGCCTTCAACGTTCACCCTTGTACTCCGCATGCACTCAGCACAACCACCTGCCACCACACCGTTACTCCCTTCGCGAGAAATAAATGCATTCAAAAGAGAAGTTACCCCGATCATACTATCATCAATTTGCACATGCTCCAACCCCCACTGTAGGTCAGCCTAGATATATTATTTTAATCAAGTTTTATCGCCTACCTGTCTTCGCAATGGATATACTTCCTTCTTAGTCTTTTGAAGCAGCCAAAACACCGCTGCCACTAGCCAATGTTTCCTCGGTTTATTGCACCCACTCTGATTGATAACACATAGTACTGTCTCTCTCTTATTGGCTACGGCCATCGTGAGAATAAAGATAATAATACAAATTTTGAAGAATGTATGGCAAAGTTAAGTGTTTCTTTCTGAATAATGCAACAGTCAACAAATTCTTCCACGTCACACAGAAATTACACCGCATGCAAATTTCACTGCTCACGCAGTGCATAATACCTTTTTTTGACAACTTCTTGCGGTCGTATTTATTCAGCTTTCATTTTGTGTGTACTTGCATGCTTATACAGTGCGTATCGGTTATAGCATGGTCGTGTAAAAGAATATGCTGCCTACAAGAATGAACTCTGATGTTTTCATAATCATAGTCATGGATTTCATGTGCACATTTTTTCTTACAAGCAATTTTATCGTACAGTAGAATAAATCGGTCCGAAGTATGGACTTTGTGTAGCGAAACATGCCAGATCAGTGCAACGTATATCGCCTGTAGTGGTAACATTAGTCCAAAGCAGTTCTGATCTGACTCGCGTTGGGTCGTAGTGCTGCAGGTTCAACTATTGTGGTCATGTAACTCATGTTGCATAGCCACATTGTAAGCCTATGTGACTGTGACCAGCCACATGCACAGTAGCACTACCTTGTATGTACGATGATCTTCCTGCCTCTGCGCACATGCACATGATATGTCACACTTAATTTATCGTGTGTAAGAAATATCGGAAATAAGAATACAAAGTTGTTTTTCAAACACTCACGCAATAACCGATACCTTTTTTTTATTTTTTTTTTACTACGTTCACATGACCAGCTCGAAAAGAATAAGGAAAGACAATGGTACGGAGACTAGGACAAACGTGACAACTAATGAGCAGGCGCTACACCGAGACGCAGCAGTGATGGTGGGGCATTGATGACTCTGCCGACCTGAGGTCTCGGCGTCACGGCCAAAAACACGCACCAAAAACAATGAAAAAAGAAGAAGATAGAGCTGTACAGATGAGAAAGATGCAAAAACCCAAGGCTTAACACGAGCGATTGTGGGGGAGAAACTGTCTTAGCGTCATACTATTCATAGGGAATCGATTGCCCAGAGCCAGTTTGTGCTGCGAAGATGGCGGTAAACATTCGTTTTGAATGATTGCATTCTCTTGCTGTGGGGAGGCTGGGATAGGAGAGCGGCAGGGAGGGAGTTCCAATCGCTGATGATGCAGTGTGGGAACGAGCGCTTCAGTGCCAGCGGGGCAGATGCAGGCAGCTGGTGTTGGAGCTGGTGGTCATGGCCACTGACAGCACCGTGCTCGCTGCGAGTTCTGGGGTTGGTAGAGATGATGTGGCGCGGTGGCAACACAGAGAGCAGCTGCGGAGGACCAGGCAAGTAGTGCAGCTTGTACAGGCAGGCAAGCGAGGCAACAGTGCGGCGGATGGCCAGGCTGGGTAGGTGTGCCCCAGGGCCGATAGCATAAAGCGCGCGGCGCTGAACATTGTTCAGACGCTGGAGGTGACTCTGCGCAGCTCCCATCCATACAAGAGGCGCATACTCCATGACTGGCCGTACGAACGCCTTGTATACGGTCGTCCGGCCGGCGGGGGTGAGTATGTGGGCGGCTCTGTTTAGGACCCCAAGCCGTTGGCGTGCACGGGTGGCTACGGAGCGTAGGTGATCGCTGAAGGTCAACTTTGCGTCCACCTTCACACCAAGGAGGGTGATGGTAGTTGTCTCGGGCACCAGTGTGCCACCAAACAGGAGTGGGGGGAGATCTAAGCCGGTGCGTCTGAGGGTGGCTGTCATGGCCTGGGATTTGGTCGGTTCAAACATCACTTTCCATGTACGACCCCACTCGTGCAGTCGGTCAACGGACACCTGCAGTGACTGCGCGGCGACTGTTGGGGTCTGCTGGGAGGTGACTAAGCTGTACAAAGTTGTATCATCAGCATAGGCTTCCAAGCTGGCGCCGTCAGCGAGAACATCTGGCGCGTCGTTGACGTAGGCCAGGAAAAGCGTTGGTCCAAGGATGCTTCCCTGGGGACTCCAGCGGAGGTCGTATACCTAGATGACGTCCGCCCTCCAACGAGGCACTGTAGGGAACGGGTGTCCAGGTATGACGCCAGCCATCTCTGAAGCGGACCATCTATGCCTAGGCTCCGTACCTTGTGGAGGAGGCCGACATGCGAGACACGATCAAACGCTCCTGCGATGTCCACAGCAAGGATACGAGCCGCCCCTCCACAGCCCACAGCGTTTGCCCAGGCAGTTTGGAGAGCTTGCAAAGCGTCCGATGTTCCGAGGCCTCTGCGAAATCCAAACTGGTGCGACGTGAGCAGATGATGGTCTTCAAAATAGTTCACGATGCATCTGTTTACAAGAGTTTCCATTACTTTCGAGATTATGCACAGTAAGGATACGGGCCTGTAGTTCTTAAGGGTCGAGCGGGAAGATCGCTTGTGGATCGGAACCACGTTGGCCGTCTTCCACATCCTACGTTGCACTCCAGACCGGAAGCATAAAGCAAATAACTTGGACAGTGGCTCTGCGAGCTCATGAGCACATTCCTTAGGGACGCGAGCAGAAATACCGTCAGGCCCGGTAGCCTTGGAGACGTCGAGCCTTGCCAGGAGGCGGCGGACAGCCTGTGGGCGGAAGCGGATGGTGCGAAGAGGTGGAGCCTCTGAGGGAGCAGGGTCCGGTAGGTCAGCCTCCACAAGGTCCGGACCGGCAACGCTACATTTCTTCGAGAAGAAGCGAGCGAATGCCTCTGCTTTCTCTGAGCTCTTTGCCCACTCGCGGCCGTCAGAGTCGACAACTAGGGGAATTTCGGGCTGTGGGCGGTTGCCAGCAGCGTTCTTCAACTTCGTCCACCACTGTTTGTCCCACTGTTTGTCTCTGAGGGACCCAGTTGAGAGGCTGCGACGGAGGCTGTCCTCCTTTGCACGTCGTGATCGGAACTGGGTGGCGATCGCTACAGTCACGGAATCGGTGAATGCCTGCTGAAGTGCTGGGTCCTATTGTATTAGTTTAGTCCCACAACCTGCGATAAAATGATCAGCTGTAGCACCTACTCCACTTTTATGTTGATGTATCTATGTCATTCGGGTCTTCCCAAGTTGTACATTGTACTGTTGAGATACGGAATTCAAATAAATCAATACCATACCAACTTGCTTGCGAACTTTTTTTCTTTTTTTCCTTTTTTTCTGAATACAACAGAACCATCAGATACTGCAGAGCGGAGGCGGTGGCGTATTGGGTGGAAGTGGGGCGGGGCAAAAGTAACTTCTCCGACCAAAGGTCTCGGAATCACCGTTACTCCTGTGTGCCGATACATAGAAGGAAAGAACATGTGCATCCAAGAGGGAAGCTCCGGCTTTGCAAACGATAATGGGGAGAATTTGAGATTGAAATAGGACATTACAATAGAAAAAGCAGTGCACCGTGGAATTAGGAAGATGGAGAGAGCTGATAATCGCATATTAAGCCATGTGCAACACATTTCTGTGACCAACCACCCATGCTCCCCACAGATTCAAAACATTCCCCATGATCTTGAGGGCCGAGTTGTGGACTGTTGATATACAGGGTCGTAATGCGGAATACACCAGGGCAGAACAGGTCAGAATAAGAGTAGGTCTACGGGTCTAAACACGGAGAAAAGAAAATTTCACTCACGATTGCAGCTTGGTAGATCAGTCCACAAACCATCCGTATCATTTTGCTTCTGGCATATCATTCTTGAATCCTTCGATAGACGGTAGCCGTAATTACATGTAACATTTGCTTCCGCTCCGATGTGTGTATGGTTCGCAATAAACACTCCATTTTTTAAATCGATTGTAGTTGTGCAATAACCAGCGAAACCTATTGAGTTTTTATCAAATGAGCCCATCCAGAAACATTGATAAATATGTATGAGTGAAGGCACACAGAGACAAAAGAATATAAATACATCAACCCGAAAGACTATTGTTTCCGGAAGTCGGAAGAAAAATTATTGTTGATTTGTCTCTGCTGGGATGACAGCTACACCATAGCTTGGTGGTGAGAGCATCGCTGGCCAAAAGCAAAGGTCCATAGTTGGAGTCCTAGTGGTGCCACTCAATGTCAGTCAATTGGTTTTCCTGTTTGCATCTTTACCTCAAACCGGTGAATATTTCTATTCCGCACATTCTGGGTTTTGCGCAATCTGAAAATTCCAGATTGCCTGCACAGTCTGCAGGTTGTTTGCACATTATAGTTGAGGAAACATTTGTTTGGTTCTAAAACTGGTCTCCAACCTTGAGTTGGCTAGCTCTGCAGCTGATCACTTTATACAGCGCATAATACACCAGAGTGCCACTAGGGTTTATCGGGTGTTAGCGGCCGTCGTGAGTTCCCTTCGGGAACGGATACGATAATTTTCTTTTTTTCTTTTTTTTTATACACCAGGGTTCATAATTATTATCAAAGCTCTGGTCTCCTTTTTTCCGATCATTGCAAATAATAGCTCATTGAAAAGCTGAGAAAATAAGCAAATTGAATGATTTGGAGAGAGGACATCTGTAGCTTGCTGATGAGACACAGATCAGAACGAAATTCTGCCACTGGTGAGTGAAATTGTAAAATTTTGCAGCTGCGTAGTGGGGCTGAGGCATATGTGGAATCAGTAGTTGCCCTGAAAGGGTTAGAGAAGCTTTCCAGTAAGCTCAATACCATGAATTTTGAAGAATGTATGGCAAAGTTATGGACTTTCAAGTGTGGTATTTTTTCTGAATAATGCAACAGTAAAACAGTTTCTTCCACGTCATGCAGAAATTAAACCGCCTGTGAATTTCACTCCTCAAGCAGTGCATAATCCATTTTTTCCTGAATACCACAGAACCATCAGATGCTGCAGAGCGGAGGCGGTGGCGTATTGGATGTATGTGGGGGCAGGGCAAAAGTAACTCCTCCGACCAAAGGTATCGGAATTATCGCTACTCCTGTGCGCCGATACATACGAGAAAAGAACATGTGGCCCAGTATCTGAAAAAATGGACCTTGGGGTGATTTGCAGAAAATGACTTTTTCTGCATTTGTCATCTATAGGTATCTAGTGATCACATGGCAAAGTATTAGATCGAACAAAGCAATATAGACCCAGAAGCTTCTCAAACAAGTATAGTTACATATCAGCAAATACAACAGTTTATCACAGCATTTTCCACATCGGAATACTAGTATTATGTGCTGCAAAAGGCAGTGTAATAATTCAGCCATCCAGTTTTTGTTGTAAAACAACTCTCGCACAACTTCTGGCATAGAGCATGGATGGTCTTGATCCTCATCACTGCAGACGGCGATGGAAACTGCTTGAACACCGTACGAAGTCTGCTGATAATCCGCAAAAGTCCAGAACGGAAGGGAGGGTGGCTACAGCTACACCTGGATGATTTTCACCCGAAGGTCGATTCTCGCTGACATTGGGCCATGTGCAGCCAAGAGGGTAGCACTGGCTTTGCAAACGATAATGGGGAGAATTTGAGATTGAAATAGGACATTACAATAGTAAAAACATCGCACGGCGAAACTACTGAGAAAGATGGAGAGAACTGATAATCGCATATTAAGGTGGCAGACTACCCAAAAATTCGCTGAAACATCGAATTTGTAAATTCATATTGAGTGCTACGTCAGTTGAAAGAGCATGAATAGCTGCAAATTCTCTGAAAATTGTGTCCCTATCTGACCAGCCGTTCAAGAGTTATGGCCGAAAATGTGCCCTTGCAAGGAAAGATTTTTTTGTTGCATGCTGTCATTTGTTGGCAGCACTGTATTTGAATGTGAGCAGACCGTGCGCAACTTGTCGTATTATGGAAACACGCGAAAGTGTGCAGAATTTTGCCCCAAGTCCAAAAAAAGTCCCAAAAATCACGTTAAAAAACCACGTATTGGGCTGCACGGCGGCGGGCGAAGCCCGCCGCCGTGCAGCAGGACTTTTGCCAGCACCCTCGTGACGTTGCAGATATGTGGCTTGATTATTGTAGTTGACGTTGATTTAGTGACTTTGGCAAGTTTGAGTCGTGTCAAGAAGTCAGGTAGGATTCAGTACTAGGCAGTAGTGAAACGTGAGTGGCAGTCTTTGCCGGTTTCTGAGGGCATCCTGGATTTGGTGTGCAGCGCTGTGGAAATGGCTTGCTGTGGAGGTCCCAGCACTGGATGTTGTATCAAAGGTACGACCTCGTAGCACACCCTAAACCTAAAAAATTCAAAAATTGACTTGGGTCTGTGGGAGTCCGCGAGAGAACGCCCACTCGTTCCGTTGTGACAGATTCCAGGGCCACGTTGAGGGGCCCTACCCCACCACCCATGGCTGCTTCTGGACTTGTTTTAGGTTTGGGTCCCGCGCACGGACAGAATGGGCACGAAAATGTGAAAAAAATGTAAACGCATTTGTTTGGCTCCTGGGTGGCTCGCACACCGTGGCACTATGCCGGAAATTTGAGTTTTTCCGGCCTGGAAAGCCTGTCAGTGAGGCGCAAGAACTTGTAAATCATGTCCTGAGGGCCAGCATAGTGGCAGGAGTGTGTGGTCAAAATTTCACTCAAATCCACTGAGAAACACCAAAGTTACGGTCAATTGAATGCCATATGAAATTTATGGGTAGGCTGCCCCCTTAAGCCATATACAAAACATTTCTGCGACCAACCACCCATGCTCCCCACGGATTCAAAACATTCCCCATGCTCTTGAGGACTGAGTTGTGGACTGTTGATATAGAGGGTCGTAATGCGAAATACACCAGGGCAGAACAGGTCAGGATAAGAGTAGGTCTACTGGTCTAAACACGGAGAAAAGAAAATTTCACTCACGATTGCAGCTTGGTAGATCAGTCCACAAACCATCCGTACCATTTTGCTTCTGGCACATCATTCTTGAAGCGTTCGATAGACGGTAGCCGTTATTACATGTAACATTTGCCTCCGCTCCGATGTGTGTATATTTCGGAATAAACACTCCATTTTTTAAATTGATTGTACTTGTACAATAACCAGCGAAACCTGTTGAGTTTTTATCAAATGAGCCCATCCAGAAACATTGAGAAAGATGTATGAGTTAAAGCACACAGTGACACAAGAATAATATAATATTATATATAAACACCTCAACCAGAAAGGCTTTTGTTTCCGGAAGTCTGAAGAAAATGTTGAATCGTCTCTGTTGGAATGACAGCTACACCATAGCTTGGTGGTGAGAGCATCGCTGGCTGGCCATAAGCAAATGTCCATAGTTGGAGTCCTAGTGGTGCCAGTCAATGCCAGTCAATTCATTTTCCTGTTTGCATCTTTCCCTCAAACCAGAGAATATTTCTTTTCCGCACTTTCTGGGTTTTTGCGCCATCTGAAAATTCCAGATTGCCTGCACAGTCTGCAGGTTGTTTGCGCATTCTGGGGGATACTTAAGGACAATTTGTTTGGTTCTAAAACTGGTCTCCAACCTTGAGTTGGCTAGATCTGCAACTCATCACTTCATACAGTGCTTATACACCAGGGTTCATAGTATCGTAGCTCTGGTGTCCTCTCTCCGATCATCGCAAATGATAGCTCGTTCAAAGCTGAGAAAATAAGCTGCCAGTGATGTTTCGTTTGATACGGCTTGACTTGGATTCATGCAGCGCCAAAGAGCGAAACACAAATACACTTGAACTTCTTGACAACTTGCATGTACAGTGAGTGACCTGCATCTATCAGTATATTTCAAATAGGGGACTTCTCCTATGAGTCATTGTCGCACGGCGCATGCGAAGTAGAGCCCAACGAATTCCCTGAAACCGCATGAATCTGGAGAACTTTAAATCGTTGTTCTCAGGTGAGTAAAACCACAGGACCGAAGAAAATTGTTGGGGTGGCGACAGTATCCCACTCAGGCGCAATGAAGCAGCTCTCAAATGGCATGAAGGTGATTCCATTGCCCCTGCTAGAGGTCTAATTGAATCATTAAAGAGAGGATATCTGGAGCTTGCTGATGAGACACAGATGATAAAATTCTGCCACTGGTGAGTGAAATTATAAAATTTTGCAGCTGCAAACTCGGGTTGAGGCGTATGTAGAACCAGTAGTGGCCCTGAAAGGGTTAAAGGCGCTTTCCAGTGCACTTAAACCATGAATTTTGAAGAATGTATGGCAAAGATATGGAGTTTCAAGTGTGGTGTTTTTTCTAATAATATTTTTTAATAATGCAACAGTAAAAGAGTTAGAAATTCTTCCACGTCACACAGAAATTACACCGCATGCAAATTTCACTCCTCAAGCAGTGCATAATACCCTTTTTCTATTTCCTTTTTTACAGAATACCACAAAACCATCAGATGCTGCACAGCAGGGGCGGTGGCGTATTGGATGGAAGTGGGGCGGGGCAAAAGTAACCCCTTCGACCAAAAGTCTCGGAATCATCGTTACTCCTGTGCGCCGAAACATAGGAGAAAAGTACATGTGCATCCAAGAGGGAGCAACCAGCTTTGCAAACGATAATGGAGAGAATTTGAGATTGAAATAGGACATTACAATAGTAAAAACATCGCACGGCGAAACTACTGAGGAAGATGGAGAGAACAGATAATCGCATATTAAGCCATGTACAAACTTTTCTGCGACCAACCACCCATGCTCCGCATGGATTCAAAACATTCCCCATGATCTTGAGGACCGAGTTGTGGACTGTTGATATACAGGGTCGTAATGCGAAATACACCAGGGCAGAACAAGTCAGGATA